ATTCCACCAGCCCACCATTTTTGTATTCCGCGGTCTTTTAATGTTGTAGTTGTTTTCATAGGAGTCCCTGATCACTTCTCCGAGACGTTTGGCTGCATGTTCCAGGTCTCTCTTGTTTCTGAATCTTGAGGGTACATCTTGGATCCTCACGAAGAGTTCCTCTCTGTAACTTCCCCAGTTTGTGTCCTTTGGGTTTCTCCTAGGGATCTGTTCCGATTCGCACGTTAATGACAGGCGTATTTGGCTGTGGTCTGAGCCCGAAGGTTCTTTCGACACCCTCCAGTCTTTTACCCAACGTGCCATGCCTGCCGTGCAGATGGTTATGTCCAACACTTCATGTCTTCTGCAGTCCATGAAGGTTGGTTCTTTCCCTCTGTTCAGGATTTGGAGGTCTTTTTCCATAATGAAGTCATTTAGGGCTTCTCCTCTAGCATTGGTATTTGAGCTTCCCCACCCCAGATGGTGTGAGTTCGCATCGCACCCAAGCAGAAGTTCCAGCCCTTCGTCCTTCACTTTTTTGACGAGTTCTTCGACCTCCCTTGTTGGGGGAGGTTCCATTGAATCATATGGCAGGTATGCCGATCCCGCTATGAATTCCAGGGCCTCGTTCTTCTCGGTGAGGACCTTGAGCTTCACAGCCGTGAGGTCCTCTCCGCTTTGTTGGTGTAAGAAGGTCGCTTGTGCGCCTTTTACTAACACACAGGTCCTAATTTTCTTTCCTTGGGTGTTCGAGTGACAAATTTTTCCACACCCCCCCAGGCCCTTTACCACCCCGTTCACGAACCATGGTTCTTGAATTAGGGCTATGGCTGTCTGCACCCCAGCTAGCGTCTTGCAGAGAACTGCTGAGGCGCTTTTACTGTGATGCAGATTAATCTGGACTATCTCTACCGACTTATGAGCCATTTCTAGGTTCACCCGTCAATAGGCTTGTCCTTTTCCTCATGTCGGTTCCTCTCGAGCAACTTGCTAGTTGCTCTTTGAGTCCCGCAGTGAGGTTTAAAATTGCAAGCCTCTAGGGCCCGCAGGGTTTGATCCCTGATCAGGGCAGCAAAGTGGGCGCCTGTGGCTCCCCTTGTTTCGCTGCCTCTAATCAGGACCCAGTCACCTTTAAGGTCGGGGTTCTGCCGTCCCATGAGCTCGATTGCCTCCTGGGCGGTGACATCCTCGTCCCCAAGGTGAACTACCACCCCGTGTCGCTTGGGTAGCTCCTCCGGTGGCATCACCGCGAGGACGAGGTCCCCGATTTTGTTTTCGGGGAACAGTCCTTTCAGCCTGTTCCCCGTTTCTTCGTCGGTGCAGCCGACAATGGCTGCGCCGTCCCTTTCCCACACCCCCTCAAAAGTCGGTGCCTTAGTCCCCTCTGGCAAGGAGAGGATCTGGGACCTTAGCAGTCCCTTCAGGCCCTTGATTTCTTCGGGTGTGATTTTTCGATCTGGGTAGTTCTCTGGGACGAGAGCCCACCTGATCATTCTCTTTGCGACCTGAGCGTAGCTGCCAAGATCAGTCTTGGGCCTTTTCTCAGGTCGCGTGATGTTGTGGGGCTTGGGGTGCCATCGGATTTCAGCCGTTTCACGGCTGCTCCCCTTGACACTCCCTCGCCCCCATCCTCACCCTTGTTTGTCCCAGAAGGAGTACTTGAGGCTGGGTTAGCCCTTCTCTCTTTCTGGAACCGGCGCCTTGCCGCGCCACTTAGTCTTTTCCCCCTGGGTTGTTCTCCACCAGGTCCAGCATTCTGGCCCTGGGGTTCTTCCGTCCCAGGTGGTTTTTGTGTTTCTTTTTGTATTCTGGTCTCCATATAAGTCCCACGAGTACCACGGTAGTGCGGTATCACCCAGGCAGAGCCGTGTATGCCTGGGGCTTGGCTACTTACGCTCGGAGGTCGCCTGGTATCCGAGGGAACCGTTTGAGATGCAACTCTTCCTGCACCATGCAGCCATTGGGACTGTATCATACACCGTAGCTTGGAGGAGCTGGTTCGCGATGGGTTTTTCGGCTTCCCTTGTGATTTCCCACGTTTCGTTCGGCCTTATGTTCCCCATTAACCTCGTTTTTAGCCAACCTCACGCAGAGTTCGAGACATTTCTGTCCCGGCCTCCGCCGAGGTGGTTATTCCGCCCGGCCGTCCTCCTATCCACCACCCGGAGACGCGCTCGGTTGGTGGCTCAACCGCCCTCTCCGCACCCCAGTCAAGGGGTTTAGAGGAACCCGAGTTGCCAGGAGTAATTATTACAACATCCTGGTGCCGAAAATTGATTATTTCTTTTTCACCTGCTTAAAATATTTCCGTTAAAATTCATAGCAACTTTCGGCACGTAAGTTTAGCCACCCTTGAATTTACATCTCTTGGTTCAAAATTCCTGATAAAAGACCATTTGAATCTGCCCAAACAATTTTAGACATATTGAGGAGGAATCCCTCGGAAATATATTTTTAGTCAATTTTTTTGGTTTCACAGGACATAAAAACAATTCAACGGAAATTATTATCACACTCACCCGATAATTTTATTGAAACTCTATTAGATTTCTGTAAGAATTATATAAGTGTATGATTAAATTATTTTAGAAGTTTTTTTCAATAGAAATATTCACCAGAAAGCTCTGCATTTGAGGCGACCTGGATTTTTCCTTACATTTTACACATAACTTTCCCATTTTTTACCGATATATGAGCCAAAGAAGACAACTTGAAACGATTTTACCATGAAAATTCTGCAAAGAAATTTCCCTTATCTGATGTGTATGACCAAATTCTTGTAAGTCCATTTTTTCTGTGAATCTATCTATTCTTTCAATAATTTTATTGGGACAAATTCGAAATAGTGGTCGGCCAAATACTGATGGAATTTTCATAGGAATTTAGTAAAGTTTCATTAAAATACAAAACTAGGATTGTTTATTAGATTTTCTTATCTGTGATCATTTTTCAATTGCCGTTGCTTGGTCACTCTCTGCAGCTAATGATTTTTTTCTGCAGCAATTATTCAATTTCGTGGTTAAGTAGAAATGGATGAATTTTCAACGATTTAAGAGTGAGTGGGATTGATATACTGAAACAAAGCAACCAAACATGAAATGATGGAATTCAAACTTCTTGTTTCCGTGTCTTTTTAAGGTAAAAAATCTTTGAAATTCAAGTAAGTCTGTCAGTTGCTAAGTATTCAATTTCTGAAATGTGAAAAACCGCAATTCAATTTTGTAAATACTGCTTAGGGAATGTTCAAACAATATTAATAAAAATGAAAAAATCTTTTCACCAGTTTTTTTCAATTCATTTACTAGCGAAATATTCAATTCAAAGTGATTTATTGAACGGAATTTTATGCGGAAATTAATGTAGAAAAAAATTAATAATCCATATTTTTCTTTCAAAAATTCGAGTTTTCGCCCGTTGACTCACATAACGATATTCTGACTCTGACCCAAGCAATGTGATTTCGCCTCTCCGACCACCTACACAGTACGATAGGACCCCTTTTTTGTATAATCATTGGCCTAATTGGGGTTGGAAGCTAGATGAGCTCCAAACGCGCACTTTGCCCGAGCCTGCTGTATAACTTGTTCAAGTTTCATCAAATTCTGGGCGGACACCTATGCAATGTTCCTAGTCAGTCGGTTTTTGCATAATTTGAATCTTCTGTAATGGAATTTTAGGAAATCTCGCACATTAAACTCGATTTTTGGATCTTGGAAATTTTTTGAATCGTCGAAGAGTGTGAGGACTGGGGCCCGAGTGCTTAGGGATTTAGGAGGTCTGCAGGCAGGCACCAGCACAGGGCAGACACATAAAAACACTCCCAGTTCCTCTATGAGACTTCTTAGCATTCAGCATAGGACGCATACTGACGTATGAGCGCTCCATGTTAGATGAGGCGAGCCTTCAGGACGTTTGAATTCGGCGCGCTCCAGGAGAAGCTATTGTCGGGGATATCTAGGCGACGGAGAGAGCAGCACGTCCCGGTACATGGCAGCCCACCCAGTCGTGGTCGAGAGTGGGGGGCATCGGCAATACTGCCAAGACTGCCCAGTTACTCGGCAAAGCCGCTTCGGCTGACTCCCAGTGCGGACGACTAGCCGCTCTCTCTTGAGCCTTTGGTAGGCTCCCAATGTGTCGGAGCAATGCTCCCCTTGCGTAACGTTTTCCGAGTGAGAGTCATACCCTTCCGGGATACGCTCTTTATCTTTAGGGCTACCCTAGTGAACCCACCGCACCCTTGATGGTGTGATTTAGGCGAGTTCCTCCCCGCACTCTCGGCCTCTCGGCACTCCGCTATCGTACGTCGTGCTCTCGGCGAGGTAGTCCTCGAGGTTAGTTCTCGCGCCTCGGACTCCCGCAAGCCTGCTCTCGGTATCCCGATCCATGCGTCATAATACTTCTCGGTCTCTCTTTTACGGGTTATTAGAGTCGTGTATTCGTGGGCCCTGGCCCTCTCTCCACGATATAGCATCCTGAGCAACCCCAGGCCTTCCTGCTTCCGTTCCCTTCGTCATCGGCTTTAGCCTCTTGCGGGTAGTTACCTTGCACCGTGTGAGATTTGCCGAGGAATCATTGTTAGTTTATGACAAACTAACCGACGTCCATATAATTATTTACTGTAATGGAAAAGTTAGTGAAAGAATTCTCTTTCGCCCTGGTCATGCCAGTTAAAAGCCAAAAGACTTAACGAATATAATCACCACAACCTATTAAATAAAAAGGCCTGCTTCGAGATACTTTAACTAACGGTGTTTGGTATTAAACATGTCACGATTATATTTGTTTTAACAACCACGAGTCGACGATAATGGAGGAGTCAAATACGTAGTGTTTGATAGATAGGGAAAAGCACTCGAACTGAGATTGCTTACTGAAATGATCAATTTTCTTTAGCTGATACGTTATGCTGTGTTTCATTCGCCTTTTAAGAACTGCATTTGCTCGATATAAATGAAACACACATTAAATTTGTAAAAGGAAGAAAAAAGATTTAAAAAATAAGTAATTTACTTGTTTCACAGGCTGGGCAAAGCAAATACCTGGATTTAGTGGGCTCGCACTTAACGATCAAATGCGACTATTGCAGAGTACGTGGGCTGAGATTTTAACATTCTGCCTTGCGTGGAGGAGTATTCCAAACACGGGAAGACTTAGATTTGCTCAGGATTTCACCTTAGATGAACGACTTGCAAGAGAGTGTCATTGCACTGAACTTTTTTCTCATGTAAGTATTGATAAAAGCACATAAAGTATAAAAATGGCACTATTCGCATTTCTCATTTTAATATAAAAAATCCACTGAACTTCAAGTAAATATTCTAATGTTGATGAAAGTTGGATTATGACACATGATACAGCGACCTGTTAAATCTAATGGCTTCAACCGAAAATAGAAAAATAGATGGGCACTCAGGTCGTTATAAACCATTTTTCAAAGTAACATTTAGATGTCTATTTACAATGGACCTTCAAAATTTCTACAGCAAACGTTAACTAATTAAGGAAAATGAATTTTTTTTTAATTTATCATTTGATGACACATTGGATAAATTTTTGATTGCTGCAAATTTCTTGTTTTGTTAATTTCCCTGATAATTCTAGGCGTCTCAGATTTGAATTACTTCTAAAGCGAATTCCGTTTTCCCTTTGATTTCCTTCCCTTTATTTTTAATCACCCTTTTTTACCTTACTTACTGCGTTCAGGTTCGAGAATTAAGTATAGCTTCCTTTTAGAAGGGTCTGAGTTTACGGCCCACGTGGATAGACTGGATTATCTACTGTCGTTAGTGTTTTCTCTTCTTTTGTCTGACACTAGGATGCAGGTCCTACATCAGGTATAGAGTTATTTATGAAATTAATGGATACTCAAAAAAAAAAATTGAAAAAATAACGTAATATAGAGTGTACTGTTTTCAATCCTTATGTGAGTGAAATTGCAACGAATTGAAAACCAAGAAGGTCTGGTCCAGCAAAACATGGTTACTATATTGTATTTATATATTATGTATAGAATATATAGAGACTTTTATATGTAGGTAGGCAATCCCCTATACCGCGGAATGTGCAATGAGCTTACCAGCTATTTGGCATTCTTCTCTAGGCCAGAGGTGGACAACCTCAGGTAGTCTCGGAGCTGCAGCCCTAAAATGATTAAGCTTCCAATCATAAGGAACCTAACGTTATTGGAAAGGTTGCTGTATATTTGTGTGGTGGGGCAACATTAAGATTGAAGTTCGAGGGCAAAATGATTTGAATTTTTTATATGTATTTGGACATTGTCTTTTCAATAAAAAAAATAGAAGTGATATGATGGTTCGCATTCACCATCCATCGGTGGAAATGAAAGTGGGATGCTGATTCTCATGAACTGGAGAGGCAACAATTTCATCGCCAAAAATTTTTCTAATTTTGATCATCATCATTAATATTTCCATTCATTTGCTTAAGTCACTCAAGCTAGTCCAAAAAATTTCAAATTTTCCTTGCTTTTGGAACGAGGAATGTTCTTTGAATATGAAATCTCAACAAAACGTGAAGGGGAAATTTTTGAATTTTTTAAACAAAATGTCGGCGGTACTGAAAATTGGGCACCTCAATCTTCTTTCTATCAAATTCACGATCATCCCACCTTCAATCTCATCGCTAACTATTGAATTTCAACCATCATATTACCTTTTGTTTGTTCACAAAAGATGTGAGAACGAGAAAAACACATTTTCAGGGCGATTTTTCATGGAAAAAAAGTGTAGACCGATCTGTGTTGGTATCTCAATAAATTATGCGTTATATATCTGCAAATATTAAAGGACGCTGATAAAGTATTTCATTCGGAGAAGTTTGTGCATTTTAATTTGGCATCGAGAGCAGAAGATATAGCACCGAAAAGTTCAAAATCCATGTTAAGTCATGTCTCTTAACAACATGATAATATTTAATCATTGTTGGCCAAAAAATATTTCCTCTTCAAAAAACCTATAAACGGTACGAATTTTCCTTTTTGTAAAATCGATTAAAAACAATCAATAATCAATAAAAAAAAGTGACAAACAATGAAATAATTTAGAAAATGTTTTCCATTATATATTGAAAATTTTTCTATTTTACTGTTTTCACCACCAAGTTTCTACCGAATATTTCCACTCCTTTAGCCTACAGGCAGACCATCATCAGCCCGAAGGGGCGCAGCCTTAAATTCTATGGCTTGGGACAATTTTGTCTAATGGTACTCGGGAACTGGAATAGCTCCGAGAGCTGAGGTTATCCATCTCTGCTCTAAACAGGCACCTACTTGATAGGTGCCAGTAACTGTGCCTTAAGTGCAAACTCGTGCAGTCATCAATTCTATCGCTGTCGTCATAAATCGCGCTGATGCACTTGGACTGAACATATCCTATCAGATTTCGCCCAGACCACTGCATCTTGTACGTAGATAATGAAGATCTTCCTCAGTCAACCCTCATCTTAGGCATTGGAGATTTTTCCCCTTGTCTATTCTTGCTAGATACCGAGGGGCCAGTGCCCAGCGATAAGCCCCAGTAGACAGCCGAGCTTTGTCCTGTTCGGACCCACAAGTGTGCCCGGTGGTCTCTTATGAGGTACACCTAAGAGGGTTCTTGTACGTTTAGCACCTTTTTCAGAGCACCATTTCTCCACAATACCCTTCACCGCTCGTTTCCGGATCATTGTCTTTAATAAAATTTGTGTGCGCATCTACGTAGTTTTCCCTATCTCCTATAACACTCAGACATCTCCTTTTTAACTAGCTCGTCGTCCTTTTCATTACCGGTGATACGCTGGTGTCGCCTGGAATCGATACCACTTCCAGCTGATTGTGAGCAGCGATGCTTCTCAACAAATCGGTGCAATCATTCATTGGTCGAGAGCAAATCTCATGACTGAGCATTATAATGATGATGACTTGAGAGGTATATTTTCTTGTATCTGCCCTGTCTTTCCAGTATTGCTCTTGCGGAGGCTCTCAGGGCAGCTAGTTCCGTTTGGAGCACGGTTGCATGCGATTCTAGTTTTAGGCTTTCCTGGTTGAAGGCCACTCGAACCAAAATCCTTCTTCCGCTCGGTCACTCATCCTTGAGCCGTCTGAATACCAGACCAGTCCTTTGGGCGGTGACTACTTTGCATCTTTCCCTGGAAAAGTTTCGCATAGCCAGGTTTGACCTTAAATGTTTTACGGAAGAACCGTTGTGGTTTGCATTTAATCTCCGGGGAGAAAGTATAGGTGCCGTGTCTAGAGGGGAATTTTACAACCATCCTCCTGTTGTTTGTAACTAGCGCCATCTCCACTCTTAGCCTCTCAAGCCCCACAAGCAGCTCATTAACGACGTGGAGCCAGAGCAGAGGTCAGATAATACCACCGCTGGGTGCAGCCCCTCCATGCTAGTGCTCTGACAATGCTGTCACTGAAAGACAAAAGATGTCGCTGCCCTCTCCAAATGTCACAGGAATTATTATCGAATGCTACCTCTATGTGAATAAATACACCGAGGATGACCTTTCTCTTTCTTTCCAACCAGGTGGTGTAGTGGAGTCTCAATTCCACTTGGTAGGCATACTGTGAGGGGCTGAATGGGTTCCTCTCTATCACTTCCTCATTAATGTGATTATCAATGAGTTTCTGCAGTGTCTTCAGTGGGAACAAACTCTGGCTGATAAATCTATAGGCCTTGGCGTTATCATTGCCATCTCTTGGCACATTTCCCAGTGCCAGATATGCCCTAATTGCCGGCATTAACCTGCGTAACAGCAGAGAACTTCCCTTCCGCAACAGTGCCCAGTACACTCCGTCAGGCTGTGGGCTCTTGTACATGTCGAAGGTATCCACCACCCACTGCAGGTCGTCCAGCATTACTATTTTGTAGGCTTAATCGCAATCGGAATTGGCATTGAACTGGCTTCATGGCAGACTTCCCGCGTATAATCTTCTTCGACTTTTTCGTATAATCGAATCCGGGAAATGCACCTGGATCAAGTTTTCGACGATGTCGGTCGGCTGCGTGATGGTCTCACCATTTGGTTGCGTTATACTACCAAGCCCTTGCATAGGTTCGCTGGAGGAGACCCTGCAAAGTCAGACCTGTAGCAGCGTATTCGGCTCTCCACAGCACCTCTTCCGTGCAGATTTCTTTGATTTTCTTATAAGGCTCTTCTATTCTCTATGTACATTTCTGTACTGAATGCAGTCTTCATTCCTGTTGGAGCAGGAGGCTTTTCAACTCTCAACTATGTCACTTTTCTCCCCTTCCGGGAAGGTTGGATTGGGCATGTGTTTCTGGAAAGGTTCGAGTAGTAAGTGGTAGAGATTGAGGAATTTCCCACGCTAACACCTCCCGTTTTTCCAGGAAGGTTACATGAAGGCACAGGATCTATCTCTCCTCCTTCCCTCCTAGGGATTATTCTGTTGTTGCGTGTCTAGACACGCTCGCCCCTTGCCTTGAATAGGAAAATCGGCTTTACTCTGTGGAGGTCCCGCCTTTGTCATGATTTCCTTCAAGGTTGCGTATTGTTGGGAAATCGACGACAGGTGGAGAAAAATATATAATAGACAATTTATATGGTCAGAAAGATTCTCTATTCAGGAATTATTGTTGTTATTATTATTATCATATGGGATACATATGACTATTATGAACAATTGTAAGTGATTTTCCTTATTCTTAACAAATAATTAATCAAGGTATGCCTTCAATTTCAAGCAACGTTGAATATAATACAACCTATACCTTTGTCAGATAAACTCCGTAACAAGATTTTGGGAAATCTCGCACATTAAACTGAATTTTGATTAAGTTATCTTAGGTTTGCCACTCAATCAACTTTCTCCGGGAATTGCTGGATCTTTCCACGCGCGTGAAGGATGGGGCCCGAGGGCTTAAGGAGTAGGAGGCGTGCGACTAGGCAGTAGCACGGGGCGGGCATTCAGATGGCTGATCATTCGCAGTGATTTTTCTAACGTTTTGCTGGAAACGTTTCAATGCGGCGCGCTTCAGGAGAAGCTGATGTCATGGATATTTACGCCGTGACAGGGGCTCCCCCATAGCTAACCCCATCTAATCGTGAGTCGCAAATGGGGAGGAGTGCCTTAGGGGACTGCACTTTCCACTCACTCGGGGAGCCGCTCCGCTATCCCAAGTCTTGTTTTGGCAGGATATGCGCACTATATTTAGAGCCACCTCTAGTGGTTCCTCACCACCTCGATATAAACACCGT